CGGGGCTGCTGCAGACCCAGCGCGAGCACCACGCCGGGCGAGCACAAGCCACGTGCAGCTCGCAGCAACCACAGGCCCAGGCAGCGAGCGGGCAGCCCACGGCAGGCGGGAGCCCCTGTGCCCCCTTCCCTGGCCAAGAAGGGGTCTTGCACACACACCGCTTGCCACAGGCAAGGCCCATGGCCCCCTTCCGCAGCCTGTGGGGCCGGCAGAGGGCCAGCACGGCAGCACAGAGGGAGCTGGCGCGAGGCTGCCCCAGCCAGGAGCCATGCTGGTGCCCAAAGGCCCAAGTGGTGCAGCACGCAGCTGCTCTTCATGCTCTCTTCCGCCGAGACCTCCACCATGCCCCGCGGCTAGGGCACCCAGACATTGTGCCAGGCTCACTGCACCCACGGCAGGATGAGGCAAGGCGAGAAGGGCCAGCAGGCACCGAGCAGTGTGAGAAGCAACTGCGGGAGAGGGGTAAAGAGGAGCCCTCAGTGGGGAGGGAGGTCTCCGTCTGTGGACCCCCACCGCGTGTGAACACAAGGGCACGCTGCAGGGACAGCGGCTTTCATGGAGAGCATGGGCGCAGAAGCAACAGCACACCGGGCAGCAGCAACACTTCCAGAGGCACCGGAGGGCCCCATCCCCTCCCCAGCACCTCCACTCCTCCCACCATCCCTCCTCCCCCGGCCTCTCACCTGCCCTCCCAGCCAGGTGATTTCCTTACCTGCCTTTCCCCTTTTCCTCCTCCCCGTGTTCCTCCTGAGCCAGCTCCCAGCCCTCTGCCGCTGCTCCCTCCTGGGTCTGCCTTTCCCAATCCTCCCCTTCACTCCTCCCTTTCAGATCTGACACTTCCCCCCCTCCTCCCCGCTCTCAAACCCGAGCTCCCCGGCACGCCCTGTGCTGGCCCCCCTCACGGAGGGAGAAAGAACAAACAAAACAAGAGATTAAATTCACTTTCTACTCAAGGGCCCCCAGCGCCAGGGGCATGGAGTTGCCCGCAGTCAGGCAACTCTGCCCTCCCTCCAGCTCCCTTCCTGCTCCTTGTCTACTTTTGCTGGGATGGGGAAAGGCACTGGGATTATTTACCCCTGTATGCAGCACCTGCTTCCTCCTTTCCCAAGGCAGGTGCCAGAGGATTCGTCCACATGGGGGATGTTCAGTTGTGGGGGGAAGTGAGCTGAGCTGAGGGTCTCCCCGTGGCTGGCAGAGAGGAGGTACAAGGCCAAGTCGGGCAGGAGATGTAAGGAAAGGTTGGGAAGGGGGGTCCAGCTTGAGCAGGTTTCCCTGCCACATGGAGAGGGGCAATGGCACCCTGCTCCCAGGAACAGCCTCTGCCGCAGCCCCCGAGCTGCAAGGCGCCCAGCGCCTCCGTGGGCGCCGAAAGAGAAGCGCTGCCTACCTCCAGCCTGGGACCAGGGCAGGGCAGCTCCAGGGCCATCCGTCTAGGAGAGCGGGGCTCCCCAAAGAGCGCAGGGAAAACCTGTGGCGCAGACCTGACCGGGGAGCCGACCGAGTTGTCCTAGGGAAGCGAAGGCTGCAGGAGGAGTGGGAAGCGCGGGCTGGGAATGCTAACTATGCAGAGACTGCCTCTACCTGCAGCGGCTCTCCCCCCGCCTGGCCCCAGGGCCAGGAAAGGCAGGCTCCTGCCTCGGGATACAGCAGGAGGAGGAGCTCCCGGCCCTCCCTGCCTTCCTCGGCCTTTCCTCCCTGGGCTCCTTGGCCTGCGGCGGCCGAAGGAAGGATGCCTGGAGAAACCCGGGTGTGGTGGGAGGAGGAGGCAGCCGGCAGTAGTGGAGGAATTAGGATGCAACTGCCTGCACAGCAATTTAGAAGAAACGTGAATTGCCCCCAGCTCCGTAAGGAGAATGCGAGCTGCAGCAGCGAGCACGGACCTGCCTCACAGAGACAGAGCAGCACCTTCCAACACAGGCCCCCGCTGCAAGGCTAGGTCTCCCCCCGCACTGCAGAAATCACTGCCCCAGGAGACGACTGTACAGGACTCCTGCCTGGGCAGCTCTTGCTTGTCCTCGCAGAGCCCCACAGAGAACAGGTCGCTCCTTCCTAGCAGCTTCCTGCCCAGGTCTGGAAACCGTCGAGCTATCCCAGTGCTCTGAGCCAGGAGCACCCCAAAGCAGGAGCTTCCCCAGCACCCATGGAGCGCGGTGGCATCCAGCCCGGACCTGCACTGTCCGTCCCCGCATGATCGGTCGTGCAGCGAGCGCTCGAGTCTCGAGCCGAGGCGCCGAAGGCAGCAGCTACGCACGGAGGGCTCAGCCAGGCTCCTGGGAGAAGGCCAGCAGGAACCAGGCTGCAGCAGGAGCAGCACGAGACCTCCCACAGCACCCGCCGCCAGCTCAGCAAGCTCTGCTCCGGGGGAGGGAAGCACCTTCTGCTACAGCCGGCCCCAGCTGCCTCCAGCTCCTGCCTGCCCTGGCAAGGGGCGACCCCAAGGCTCCATGCCCAGGAAGCAAGGCCAGGCCCAGTGCAACAAGGCCTGTACCGGTCCTGCCCAGGCCCAGAGCTGACAGGCTGCTGGGGGGGCAGGGGCACAGCAGAGGAGTTGTAGGATGTAGGTTTATAGCGGGAAGGAAGGAGAGGGCAAGCGGAAAGGGAGCTGCAGAGCCTCCCCTCCGCCACGTAACGTGACAGCAAGTGAAAGACCAGGCTGGAAATGGCTCCCAGCAAGGGAAACATGAAGTACCAGTAGCTGTACTCCGCCAAGCCAGCCCTTGGAAAAGGGCAGGGAAAGGCTGCAGGGGCTGGTGCTGGCATCCACGCAGCCCTCGCACCTTCCTCAGGCTCCAGCCCCTGCACTCGCCCTTTCTGCCCTCCCTCCTCGGTCTCCTTGCTCCCGCCAGGCGAGTGCTGCCCGCGGTGAGATGAGAGGTTTCCCAACGCTGCCCCTCTTCAGCACTGACCCAGCACAAGGACGTGGGGCACAAGTGCTGCTCACAGCATGTTACTGTTCCTGCAGTGTTCTCCCCAAGACCTGGGTGCAGGAGAGCCGCGC